GTTTCTAAATCAAATTCAAATATTTTAACATTACAACCTGCTGCTTTATTATTATATTTTTTGTAACTGATGAGATGCATGATTTACTTATCAGCTTTTTCATTCTTGTAACCGACAAGATTTATTCTAAATTCATAACAGTCTCGCACTTTATTTTCCGGTCACATTGCAAAAGCTTATAAATAGGTAGCCTCCATTTCTACCAAAAAGGTTGATATAATTTTTCATAATCTGCACTCCTATTCTAAAAAAACAAAGCAATCAAACTCTCTTTGGGCAAGGAAAAGGTGGTGGGGTAGAGTTTTCTTTACAAGAGTGCAGTACTTGTAAATATACAACAAGGAGGTTGGGCTGTTGTATCCTGGGAGCGACATGATCATAAAAATCTGTTGCACCAGTGGCGCAAAACGTCTTAAAAAGAGTGATTGATCCATGCCTCAACTCAATCTCCTCATACTTTCAGTGACATCTTTCTACTTTTCGTTTTCATCTTTAATTAATTGTTTTTTGCAAATCTTTTGTCTACTTTTCTTCTATTTATTTTACGAGGAACAACAATGGGTGCTTGTGCCCTACTTGTGTCAATCTTCACTACCATCCTCACTAATTTTTAGCTGCCTCCAAAGAGAGTAACTAAAACGTCAAATTCTATCCCTTTAGATTGAAAGAAAATGTAATTCCGAGCGTTGATCATATGAAATTCTTCATGGAAGTGCATATTTGTTTGATTTTGATCCAATTATCTGATTGTTTTTGAATCTGGGTTTTGCAAAATCGAGAAGATAACGAAGAACTACCCCACTGTTAGCGAGAAAGGCACTAGACACCTTTTGCCATTTCCTTGAGTTTGGTCGGATCAGAATGACCTGAAGAATTAGTGACAACCAAACCAAACCAAATGCTTAGTAAAAACATAGAAATAAATTTTTGAAAAGAGGTGTATAGATGGCAACCTATGGCCCACTATAACATGTTGTTGAGGGAGGAAAAGCCATCGTTGAGGTTGTCAATAACGACGGAGGTGGGGGTATAGGAAGTAGAATCATGGTTGGAATCGTTGGACTTTTGCAGCAAATCTTTCTCCTCTTTGGCCGTGGACCAAAATAAGGAGCCCAGAGATGAGGCATTCTATGGGTCTGGCATAGCTGCTGCCATGGCCATAGCCAATAGTAACAATACTTGGACTAAAGCAAAAATCCGCCCCATCCACAAATTCAATTCAAAATGGTAATTTGGAAGCTGAAGATCCAAATTGTTCCAAAGCTAATTTGCTTTTGGCTCAAGTCTGTTCCGTTTTTTTATACCTTTTTTTATATATGTACTAGAGGTTTTTACATATATACCCAGGATCAACGTGTGTTAGCTTTGTTTCTGTATCATGATTTTGGTTGTGTGATGTGAGATTGTGTGATGTAATACTTAATCGTTGGAGTTTGCAGAGCAGTATCTAAGTGTGATGTTTGAGAAAAACCCAGATTTGGGTTTGATAAAAACCCAGATTCGGAAAGCAAGAAGGGAGAAAAGAGAGAGAGAAAGAATAAGAAGAAGAAGGATGAGCAGGGAAAGGAAAGAGGAAGGTTGATAAAGAATAAGGGGGTAAAACTGTCGAAAGAGGAAAG